CCCCTATTAAATATGCACAATGAAACAGAACAAGTTAATGGTAATAAAATGAATGAGGATGGTTCATGTGGCATGCTTTTGTGGTGGTTTTGTGGTGCTCACAGAAACACAGAACACCCTATAAAATGTGTGTATGGTGAAAAGTCATGTGCAGGGAGGGTATAGCAATAGAGCTTGCAGAAGTTTCTCTCTGGTTGCGAAGCTGAGACTCTGCAGCTCAAGCATGATTTTGTGCTGGCTTTTCTGGCTTGCCAGCAATTGAGTTCTCATGCCATATGGCTCTTTTGGCCTTGAAGTATAGACCATAGGTTCTTGTCATCTCTTTTTATAGAAGAGGAGAGTGTGGAAATGTTCAGTAAATTGGGGCTATGCCTGTACCTTGAGAATTCATTTAAGGCTTTATTTTGATGGCAATATTAAAAATTCCAGCACAGGGTAATGCTGTATTTCTTGCTGAGCAGTGATTTGAATGCTAAGTTACCAATTATTTCTTGGCTGTACTGATGGAATGAAAGTAGTACCTGAGAAATGTTTCATTTTCATATTCTTATCTGTCTGGTATTCTGTGAAATCTTAAGTGAACAAAGTTCTGTCCTGATTGTAAAGTTTTTACACTGCTACACTTTTACCAGTTTTAAACATGGTACAGCTAAGATTGAAGATCCCCATCTGATAAACAGAGTTTACATATTCCAGGAGCTACTATATTAGTAGAAATAATGAGATGATATAATAAAATAATTACTGAGATAATTATGCATAAGATAATAGGATTAACGTGCTTTAAGTATGTTGACTTCTAAATTGGTAGTTATGGTATCTGTTAATGCTGACTGTGACACATATGTACTTACCTTGTAGTCTTAAATAGACTATAAGTATAAATTAAAAAATATTAACTCCTGTGAGTATAAATTTGGTTTTGCATCATGAGTTGAAATAATGTTTGGATAAGAACATCTATAGGAAGTAATATGTGGATAAGAATACATCTATCCACATCTGTTAAATGTGAATTTATGGAGAGTTCAGTGAAGTATTGTTTGAGGCTGTGACTCTTTGTTATCAAGGTCCAGTCTGATGTTAACGTGTGTTTTACAAAGATAAGAGGAAAGTTAATAGGGCAACGGTGGGAGGAACAAGTAACTATGAGTGGTTGGTTTGTGTATGCTGAATTAGATGCAGTCCTTCCATTTTAGATCAGTGATTAAGCTGTCTCATCCACAATGCCCATTTATATTGTGGCATCTGTTGTGATCTATGTTCTAGTTTTTTTGTAACTGAGTTAATGTAATAGGAATAATTGTAAATTTTTCTCTGCTTCTGGTCTTAATTCCATGGCAGAGTAAGGCTGCATGTGGTGTGCCTGTAGCAGGTGCCTGGCTTTCTGTGCTGTGTTTTAAAAATTGCATTTGATACCAAGTGTTGCAAATTAATTTCTTGATAGTGGAAGATACTCCCATGTTTTCTGTGCTTTGCCATTTATTGAGTGTTGTCGCTGAAATAATTTCTTAATTCTTTATTATTTAACATTTATTGTTGTCTTCAGAGCTAATTTAAAATTACTTATATAATTTAAACCAATAAATGACATTTACTTAATTTTTCTATCTGTAGGAGACTGAACCTAGGACAAAATTTCAGGTTCATTGTCAGGCTTTTTTTTTCTTGACCCATTTAGACTGTTGTTTTCTTCATCTTAAATAGTTTACAAAAGTATCAAACAATAAGTTGTTCAGAAGTCTACAGGAAATGCACACATCCTTTTTTTCAGCCTGTAAGCAAAGTCAAAACTGAGGAAAACTTGAAGTGTTGCAGGAAGCAGGCCTCACTGTTTGTTAGCAACCTCATTCTTAGCATGTACGTTCAAAATGTTCTCCACCCCTACCCCTTAAAGTCCTTTTGTTGAGTTTTATTTATGTTTCTGTCATTACTTACCAATGAAATCTACAGACAGGAACTCAATTGTCTTGATACCAATTAAAAAAATTAAATTATTGAGGGCTGTGATAGTGCAAGTCAGGACTTAGAGGAACATGCCAGATTTTAATCTGTATAAAAGAGCATCTAAACTAGAGCTTTGACTGTGTTAAATCCATTTACAAATGTTTTTGGCTCAGTCAGGGTTATGCCAGCTATTTCATGAAGACTAGCACCATTTTTCTTTAAATGAATGACATGAAGAAAAATGTGAAAACATTCAAATCTAAGCTTTCTAGCTGGAACTGTTTTCTACATATGCCCTCAATCTGACTTGAGTCAGGGGTGGGAAGAAAGTCTTTCAGTGAAATATGCTGTATTTCTTATTCTCTCAGCTGTTAGAACCGAGCTTGGACTGCGAATTTTCTGAAATCCTTCTGTTATCACAGATGTTGGTTATCTGTGTTACCGGGTTGTTACTGTTGTTTTTAAGGTGTTTGCTGCCATATGTCATCTAACTTGGGAGTGCCTGCTTATTTAATTAATTCATCACTATTATTGTCACAGAAATGGTACTTTTTGAAAGCAAACCTAAACTAACAAGGCTTAAATCTTGATTCTGCTAAATGCAAGTTCATAAAATGGGAAGAAAAAATGAGTTTGATCAGTTGTTTTAGACAAGGCACCTTTAGATCTGATATATTATTAATTAAAGAAATTAAATTAACAGCTCTCTGAAGGGTTATCAAGGATCATGAATAGTTCAGGTTGGAAGGAATATCTGGAGGACATCTAGTTCAGTCTGTTGCTCAGAGTGAGGAAGATTGAGAGATGGAGACTCCACAGCCTGTCAGCACCCCTATTCTGATACTTGAGCAGCCTCAGGATTAAAATAGTGTTGTCTTGTGATGGGAATTTCCTGTGTTGCAATGCTTCCTAATGTCCTGTGCATCTGCAAGAAAAGTCTGGCTCTCTTTTCTCTGTATCCTGTCATTCAGTAGTTGGAGACAGCAGTAAGGTCTCCCTGAAGTTTATTACTTAAACCTGAAGTAACCCAACCAGAATCATAGGTTAATAGTGGAACAAGCTACTTACCTTCTTGCAGCTACAGATCCCCTCTGAAGATTGCTTTTTTTCCTTTTTTTCTTTCTTTCTTTTTTTTTTTTTTTTTTAACTTGTGTTTAAACTAGTTTTGAAAGGAGTAATTTGGTGAGCACTGCATTGGAGCACTTACTGATACTTTAGGCCATAGAAAATGCTTCCTGCAATGTATGTGATGCAACTGTAAATGCCCGTTAGCTCAAGGTCACTGACCGCCATGCAGGTAGGGCTCAGTTCAGCAGAAGGATGAGCCTTGTAGGCTACCCAAGCTGGCATGAGTGTTAAGGAAGATGGAGTGTGTCGAGCATGGATCTTGAGTCAGGATTGTTGGCTCATGTTTAGGAGTTCTTTCTTGATAGAAAGACCCGAGTGAGTTTGTTTAATTGGGTTTTCTCTTCCCCTAAGGTACTTGGGGTCTTTCATGTCTCTGTGAGTCTTCTCTTTTTATTTTTGAAATAATGCAGTTTCCTGCTGCAATTAAAGCAGAAAAATCCTGAAGTAATTGTGTGACTGGCATTAACACAGCTTTGTGTTGAGGAAGTGTGATAACATTAGCAGCCAGAGATGATGTGTTGGAGCCTTACAAATAGTGTTAGGTGACCTTACAAAGAGAAAAAATACTTTTTCCTACTGTTTAGCTGGGTATGGCTGAAGCTTTTACCAGTGCTTAGGTCAAAAGGGGGCTTAGAAATCTGTAGTGGTTCACTAAATTCTCTGTTCTTACACCTCATTAACTATGGTCTTAATAGTGAGGGGGGACTGCAAATGGAGGCAGATGTGCTGAAGTCTTGCTGCTCCTGCCATTGGTAGTGTTGTGGAGGAGGGAAGAAATCAGCTGAAAGACTACAATCATGGTCTCAGAACAGTGACTGGAGGAACTCCAGGGAGTGTTGCTGCATTCATCCAAAAGGTGGAATAAATCAGCTGTGGGCAGGGGGGCACTCAAGGCATGGGAAGTACCTTTCCAAGTCACTTTGCTGTGTGTTAGGTGTGAGTGAGCCTGAAAAGCTTTATTTTGCTGTTAAAATAGTGCATAGTCTCCTTTATCGAGGTTCTATTAGATGAACTTTGTTAGACTCTACATGCACGTATTTGAAGTAGACAAAAAACATTAAACCAAAATACAGAGTATTAGCCTGCAGATTGGCTGAAATAAGGGTATATTAACTATAAGAACATTAAACAGTGCTTTTACTTTATGCTGCTTTCCTGTTCTCTGTGTGGTGAATGTTGGAGGGATGGGGATGGTTGTGAAGTGTTTTCCCCTTATGATGGAGAGTGAGTTCCAAGCTGATTGACAGTGGGAACAGTTTCTATTTCTGTTTTGAATTATACTCCTTTCTATATAAATACATCATGAGTCACTGCTCTTTGTCTGTACCCTGAAAAATGTTTCTCTATCCGCCCACCTGTTTGGACACTGTGGGAGTGAATACTCCAATAAAGACAAATACTTGTATAGGACAGCAGCTTAAAATGCAGAGGGCCAGAAGAATCTTTGAAGAAAGAAGCCCAAAAGAATGTGAACCAAAATTACAGTAGGCAGTCCAAAGGCTTCTCTTTTGTTTTAAATGTAGTTTACAAGGCTAAACAAAGTCCATTGTCACAGTAGGCTATAAAAATGTTCAATTTGCTGTGAAAATACTAAATGAAAGAGTTCCACTTGTTTTGTTACATGCATGTCCTATCCTCAGTACACTGTCTTGCAAATGTATACAGCTCCTTTCTACCAAAAAAGTCACTTAAAATAATTTTGCAAGTTGTACAATATATGATTCACAAGTATTAATATGTGCTTAATGAACAATGTCTAATAACCTCATAGCCAATTGACACTCCTCTGTTTTACCATATCAAGTGACAATATTTGTATAAAGACCAAGTGATACAGTACTATTGCCTTGAATTCCAGTTTTATTCCTTCTGTAACTTTTAGTTTATTTCTTCCTCTTATGACGTATGTTCTGTTTTAATTTCAGAATAATTGGTCTGGAAGCTCTCATGATTCAATCCAATCAAGGAGAGTGATTATTTCTCACAATATGGATAAAGCACTGAAAGAAGGTGAGTCTTAGGTGCATTAGAGTCTGACTATCTCTTGTCCTTTTAGCAAACCATAACTGCACAATATTCCAAGACTTTAGAATATGACCCTGGTTTCTTTCATGATATAAAATATAATGGCAAGATCTTCTCAAGACATCCACTGTAGTAGGTAATGTGATGTTGCTTTTGTTATTCAACTGATATCTTGTCATTGTAGTGGTTGTTTTTTTTACAGAAATACATTGAAATACAGTTCTTAATACTTATGCACAAAGCAAAGGGGTAACACTTAAAATATTCTTGACTGGGTTTTCCTGAATTGAGAAATCCTGTAGACTCTTGCATACAGTCTTCCCATTTAGTGCAGTTCTTGCCATTAAAACTGAATCTAAAATCAACATTTGTATTTCTGGCTGATAGAGTATATTAGCCTTTTGTAAATATTTTATCTAATTTTGAATACTTTTTCAAAGTATTTTAAGATTGCTTTGCAGCACTTTTTCCTGCATTTTTCATAAATGGAGAGTATCTTTGAAAATTATCATTGCTTTAAATGGGTTGGTTGTCTTAAAACAAATTGTTATGTTTTTTAAGTTATTTTTATGAATAGCTATTAGCAGGGTATGTAGCAAAATTATAAAATTGGAACACTACCTACCTATGTCATTGAGTTGGATGCATGAGTCCATCCCTGCTCAGTAAGGCTGGAAGAAAGTTACTAATACTTAAATGATTCATTTTTCAGAGTTAAGTACCTTATGCTGTGACAGCTCATGCCTTTCTGCTATTTTGTTTTTTCAGAGTAGCTTTTACCCTCCATTCTCATGATGAATTTTGGAGAACAAACTTGTCAGATTTTATTTCTTCCAGGCCTAAGTGATGAAGCCAACTTCTGTTTTGTAGTTTGACAAAGATGAGACTGTAGTTTTTGCTCTACCATACAAAGTGTTTTTGCTTTGAAAGGTGACTGAGTCATCTTCAGTTGGAAATACTGAATGCAATCCGAAAAGCAGTAGTTTGTTTTTTGTTAGCACAAAATGATCAGTCTCTATGGAAATGGACAGGACTTCTTGCCTGTGACAGTTCTGAAATTTGTAGTTGTCTTGATGTGAATGGTGGTTTTTTTGTTGTTGTTTTTTTTCCCCACAAGTTGTTAAATAAAACTTTATAACTAGTAATATAAAACATACCATCTGTACTTGTTTGCAGTCTTACACTGATTAGGATTAAAGCATTTATATGTCCCAGGAATTTTGGACAACTTTTTGCTGTCTAGGTGTAATGTACTACTCAACAAAATGCTTTAGAAAGCCTTATTCATTTAGCTAGGAGACATTCAGCTGTAATGAGGTTTCAGTCTTGGGGACCAGTTTGTACTCTTAGTGCCTCTTGAGGTTTTGGGATGTGGAGTTTTTTGTGTGGGGTTTTTTTTTTTCCCTTAACAGATTTTACTTCTTTTTACATTACCTTTGAGATGCATGGATGATGTCTGATTTCAGAAATGTTGCTGGGTGTGAAGAGACAGCCCTTTGGTTAATTCTGATGTCTTCAGCTCTGTTTCATCACTGTGTAATTAAGTTGGCCTGGGGTTTACTATTAGTTGCCAGCTACCTTGCCTCCCTCCAGAACTGCCTGTTGTCTGTTAGTCATGCCGTGCTTTTGCTGGTGTTCTAGCCAGGCTGTGTGGTCTTTTCTCTCTGAGTTTGGCATGGTTCACCTAAGGGTCTGTGTCACTTTAAGCTACCACTTGCTTTACTGCATTTTTCCTGATGTTCCCATCGTAGTTTTTAGTGTAGTTGGAAAGATCCTTGGTCATATCCTTGGTTTAACTGAAGGAATCATCCATGTTTGTGTTCCAACCAGCAGTCTTATTTCAGTAACTAGCAGATGTTTAGACAGTTTTCCTGTGATGGTCACTGGATGATAATAGTTGCCTGTGTCTTATACAGCTTCTTGTCTTACTGTAATAAAATTGTTGGGAATCATCCTTTTACAGTGTGCCTCACTAAACACCACCAAGAAGAAACTCTGTATATGTTGGTTTACAGCTCTGCCCTAAGTGTCTTTATTTTCCATTAAGAGTGGAGCAGTGTAACAGGTTGGTGCTTTAGAGTGCTGCTTCATTATTAATTGTGGGATACTTGTCTTAGCTGTAGATAAAAGGTGGGGAAAGGTGTGAATTAGCCCTGCCACAGTGTGTTGTGGTTTATGAAATCTAAGTGTTCAAAATCAGAACAAGTGTAAGGTTACTAACAGATTTTCCATGTTGAGTATGGCAGAAAGAAAAGGCCTTTAGTTGTCAACCCCAAGTCCCCTTTTCAGCTGGTAGCACTTGAGTAACTAAGATTGAAATATGTTTTTTTCAATACTTTTCATGCTTTCTCTTGAGAGATTGAATTGATTTTTGTTTTACCTTCGTTTACCTTACAAAAAGAGAAGATAAGCCACTTCTACAAATACCCTTTAGTGCTCCCTGCTGCTTGTCTGGATTGCATCCACACAGTAGTGTGTGAAGATGTCTGCTGAGAGAGGCTGTGCCCAGTCCCTCTCGTGCTGCTGTGCACAGCGTGTACTGCTTGGGTTGGGGCTGCAGCTGCCAGGAGATTGATCTGCTGGGGGTAGCTGGCCTCCCAGGAACCGAATTTCATTTTCTGCTTTTATTGCTCCAAGTCCTGCGGTCTTTTGTTGTTTTTCACAGTCAGTCTTTGACTCTACAGTTTTTGTAGTGCCAAGAAGAATGGTCTTCATATCACTTAGCTGCTTCACTGGGTCATTTTTGAGTAAGTAAAACAGTACAGGCCATAGCTCAAATCCTGGCAGAGCTTTACTGGTGAAATTGTTCTGCTGTGAAAATTCACCTGTTTCTTAGATCTTAAAATATTTCCTGCTGGAGAGCCATCTCTTCTTTTGGAGTGGGTTGTCTTCCTTCAACCCTGCCTTGAGGTGACCTTTTTGGAAAGATTTTGGGTATTTAATTAGATTCTTTCTATGGATTAGATCTTGCCTATCTGTGTTGATCCCTTAGGATCTAACTCTGTTGGGGATGTAAGGTTGTACTTCCCTTTACAGAAAGATTGGGAGAAACTGTGTCTCATTTCCCAACTTAATATGTGCCTATTGATATTTAGAAAACTAATTGGTGCTGCTCTCTATTTGAAAAGCCGTTGTGGTTTTTAAATTTATTTTTAATTTTTTTTTCTCTGCTGAAATTGGGTTTTTTTAGAAAAGAACTCCTGCTGCTTTCTATTTGAAAAGCTGGTTTTTAAAGCAGGTTTTTAGAATTTACTTATTTTAAATTTTTTTTAATTTTTATTTTTTCAAAAAGCACCTTTCAAAACATTTTTTTTTTGGTCCACAATATCAGCAAATCAACTTGAATTTATGTTCTCTGTGCTATTGGGATTCAAACACTTGAAGCTAAGAACTCTTGTCAAAGGGTGCATGTGGAAAATTATTTGGGCATACATTTGTCTGATTTTATTTTACTACATTTCGTAGATATTGTTAATACTTATTTCTCTATTGTTTATATATTTCCATAATTTTTTTTTTTTTTTGTGCATAAAAAACCAGTAAAGATACAAATGCCAGGAAAATTTTAATAAAAATGGACCAAAGATTGGGGGATTGGGACACTGTCAGGGATTCCTTTTGCACAGGGCTGATTCATCCATGCACAATGACAGCATCTAGCCTACTGAACGTGTCAGTTACATAGAATTTGAATATGGAAGTAAACCAAAAAATGCTAGTGGTTTTCCAAACACAAACTTTAGAAGAGCACTGATATCTTCAAACCACTATTGCTAATTCACAGTCACTGAAATGTTGGCATTTAGACATCATTTTGTCAGCCTTTTATACTATGGTCTAAGTAAAGATTTAGTGTCCATGAGAAACTTCTGTAAAGCTAATAAGCATAAAACCTCATCCTCTTGTATAGCTAAAACATAATGAAATTTAAAATACAGTAAGTGAAAAATGGCTTTCATCTCTTTCAGTTTAAATGTCTTAGAAATTATAAAACTGAATATTCAGAGTGTTTATCAGTAATTTTATTAATAATTCTAAATCCACCTTTAATGTAGGGGTTTTAAATTTTCTTTCAGGTTTTTGTTGTCATTGTTTTTTGCTTGGGTTTTTTTGGGTCTGAATTGGCTTTTGGCTGGGAGAAAAGGTAATGGCTGTAAAAAGTAAATAAGCATTTAGCGTTTACTTCTCTAGAACAGTACTTTGATAGGTACTTGGCTGTGGTATAGTCTGTCATTTTTTTCTATTAGTTTTTTTATTGGAAGTATTTTTCTAAAAGTATAGCTTATTATAACCCCATCATGCATGTTAGATCTAGTGCTGTAGTAGCACAGAATTCTGGTAATGATTCTTGGCTTTTTGAAGGTGGTTTCTTCCTGCAGGATCCTAACACAATTCACATTACCCTTGTATTTCTCTTTTATGGGTTGTAATGCTTGTTGCTCTAGAATAACTCAAGACAGTGTTGTAGCTATACCTTTTTTTCATTTGTTCATACAGTCACAGGAGAGTTTTGGATTTAACTATAAATTAATGTAGTGGTTGTGGCTTCTCCAGGGTTCTCAGGAAAGGACAGCTGCTTGTTGAAACTGGGAAGTTCTGTCTGCATTTGCATAGAATATTTATGTTCTCTTTTAATATTGCTTTGAGAAAAAGAGGAGGCATTTAATCCTTGTTATTCAGATTTTTGTTATTTTTAATAAAGTTGTATAATGAATCTTAGCAATATAAAAGCGGTCTGGTGTGAAGCTCTGCAAATTGCAGCTTTGAAACCAGTCTGACCTGCAGACCCTGGTGGTGCCACTGAACCTCTCAATGAATGAATGCAGAAAAAGGGATAGCAGTTACTGTAGGACATGTGTAGGAATGAGGGAATGGTCTAGAGGGGTCTCCTCACTAAACCTCCACACAAGCTTCTAGCTCTCTGCTCCCAACGCTCTTCTAGTTTACAGTGTTTAAAAAGAGTAGTTGAACAGGCTCAACTTCAATTTCATATGAGAATGGTATTTAATCACATTGTAATAACTTGGGACTTGGATCTTCTGAACTAATTTAGGAAACCCAGTAGAAGTTTCTACAGTTTTGCACCAGACTCATTGTGGTCACTGCATTTGATTTGATCAGAAGAAATTTGTTTTATATTTTTAGTGGCTAAGTTAGAGGTAGTAAGGTTTTGTCCTGTGTTCTGCTTCTTTTTTTATTTCTTCCTTGTCTTCTGACTGTTTTCAATGTTTTAGAGAATGTGTAGTATAAAAGTAATGAGAATAGATGCATGAGCAGATTTCTTCTCTGAAGGGAGCAAGCTGCTCTTTATTAATTTGTTACATTTGTTTTCTGTATTTCCTTAGAGTGCTGAGAAGGCACCAGCTGCATCAATGGGCATGAAACTAAAGCAGCAGCTGCACCCCATGGCCAGGATGACACAAGGCAGTGTCTTAGCCAGTCTTAAACTGTTAGTGTCTGTGGCTGGTGTCCTTTTAAAATTTCATTTGTTTAAAAGCTGTCTCACTGCTCACTTGGACATACATGCTGGGCTCTAAAGAACCCTGGATTTTATAGAGAACAGCACTCTTGTGATGCAGGAAGGGCAACAAAGTTCAGAAGTGACAAGGAAACTACAGAAGACATGTCAAGTAAGAGAGCTGTAAAACACAGGTGCAGGAAAATAGGGTTTAAAGCAGTGTAATCCTTTAGAGGTCTTTAAAGTATGTAACTGGCAGAGTTAGACACAAATGAAATATTTCAAAATTGCATGGTTGATTTTTGATGATGATTCATGATCTTTTGTCTCTAGCTTGATATTGCCAATAGATTTTGTGGCTCTTCTGTATTGTATGTGACAGAATTCATGAGTGGCTAAAAGGAATCAAAAAGAATGTATTATGTAGTATGCTAAAGCAGAGCTCATTTTGGAGTGGAGTTGCTTAATAATAAATTATTTTATTTTATTAAATTAGAAAAATTATGTAAGATAATATTATATAATATAAATTATTAGGTGATTGTTAATTTATTATTTTTTAAATAAACTGTCATTAGGAATAGATTTTCTCTGAAAGACAATATGTCCGTAAGGGATTGGGATGCAAGTTCTGCTCTTGTGCTCTTGCTTTGTAGAGTTCTGTTGAATAGACTTTTGTAGGAGCCACCACTCCATACCATGACTTGTCCTCTTGGGCAAAAGATTCTGAAGAAATAGCTACTTTGCACCCTTGCAAAGGATATAGAGGGTGTCTGTAAGAAAATCTGGAAGTCACTACCTGCCAGTGATGCAGATTAAAAAAATACCACAATGCAGTGTGCTGCAAGAGCATTTGAGAAATTATTGATCTCTTATGGATTAGATGAAAAGGAAGAATCTGTGCTGTGGTCAGCTTTCCACAGCATTTCAGACCTTGCAACAGAAGAGAGTAACTAAGCTATAACAAAAAAGGTGGCTGCAGAAGGACATGGGGACAGCTGTGGAAAAATAGATTCTTAAAGTGCATTTTGTTGGAAGGCTTGAGATAAGTAGTAAAACTTCAGATTTTAAAATGCTATTTCCTCTGTTCTGTGGTATCTTGACAGATTATTCCTCTGCTTGCTTATCAGAAGACCACTGCTTTTATAACTGTTTTTACCACTCTGTAGTATTTGTGGGTAAGAGCTTTCAGTGAAATATTTCATCTAGAGATGAAATATTTCACTGAAAACTCTTACCCACAAATATAGTCAGTATATTTTTTTAAATTCAGTATATTTCAAAATAATTTTAGAAAAGTATTTTGGAAGTTCCTATCCTTCTGTATGGCTCTGCATAGTTTTCTTCTGTCCTGGATTACGAAAAAAAAAATCAAACCTGTTATATATTTGTTTACAGAACTGTGGAATTTTTTTCTGAATTATTAATTAAAAAGTCTTGAAATGACTTAGCAAAAGGCTTTTAACGATATATTTCAGCATACTCATTGAAGTGATTCAGTTTCTTTATAAACTTGAAGAAGCTAGTTTGTGAAGTATTTGTCTAGAAACTTTAATCAGTTTTAGCCATTTCTCTGGAAATGTTTTTATCAGGGTTACTTTGGTTGAGGTTTGCTAGTTTTGCCTGAAAAGGCAGGTGAAAATATTTAAGCTGGTGTCCTATTAATATGCTATTAGTTTACTGTTGCCAGTGCCAGGGAGATTTTTATAATTTACATAATTTACCAAACAAACAGCTTCTATCAAAGTGGAAGATAAGAAATTATGGAATCTTATGATTACTTTGCACTGTGGGCTTATGCTGACGAATGAGATGGACTTTTGATATGAAAGTTTGAAACCAGCTTGTTTAGTAAAGAAGGTGCTCAAATTACCAGGCACATGATTTTATTCCTTTCTTTTTTGTTATCTCGTTGATGCAAATTGACTCTTACAACCCCAGCTTTTCCCCCATCTCGTTGCAACTGCTAAATAGTTCATGTGTTCTCCCTGAACACCTCCTGCTCTGTTAGACTTCCAGGGACATTTGCTGGAGTGAAACATCAGTAAAACTGGTGACACACAAATGCTAAAAGGCAAAGTCAGAATGGTAGAAGACAGTGTTGCCGTGGGATTTTCAATTACAGTAATATTGGTTATTGCCTGTCGGTATGGTTTGGAATGCTTTGTCATTTTTGAAGTTCATGTGGTCTCACTAATCCACTTGTTCTCTCTTAGCTCTTCTGATCCTATAATGTACTTTCTGTGGTGGTGTTCTGTGTTGTATATGTCTTCGGTAATCCAAAATATTATCACCTTCCCTTTTTAGCCATGACTTTGGAATGGAGACTGTTCAGTTCCTATGCAAAGAAAGCTGCCTTCAGTTTGCAACATTTCAGACACAGCCCAATTATATGATAGTTCATGTAACCAAAGCCACTGCTGAGAGACAGGTATTAGTCTGAGGTTTGTGTGTAGCTGGTAACCTGATTGAGCAAATCCACTTTAAGGCTTTGCTTTGCAAAGTGACCTGCAGTAACCTGTTAGGTGCAGATTGCTGTAACCTTGCCAGCTTGACTTTCTTTGGTAAGAAGTAGATGTGAAGCCTATTACCCATCCAGTTTTCAAGAGGGGTCCAGGGTTACATTTTTCCTATATTGGTGTGCCTTGTCCTTTTGCAGTTTTTGCTATTTATTGTTTTGTTTCTCCTTTCAGTGTTTGACTACAGCTATAGAGATTACATCCTGTCCTGGTATGGGCAACTCAGCAGAGATGAGGGGCAGCTGTACCAGCTGCTCTCTGAAGACTTTTGGGAGATTGCCAAGCAGCTGCGACAGAGGCTGAGTCACATTGATGTAGTTAAAGTTGTCTGCAATGATGTAGTGAAAGCTTTACTCTCGCACTTCTGTGACCTTAAAGGAGCCAATGCCAGGTAAAAACAAAACTGCAGTTCATTGGAATTTTCCATTTCTCTCTTCACTTACAGATGTGCTAAATCAAGGTGATGAGGACTGTGTATAAAACTGATAAAATAGTTCAAACTTATTACTAGTTTTAGAGATCGAGCAGGCTTCAGGATGTCTGTAAAGAAACACTTGGACTCCTTTTTCTAAGTTTGGATTCACTACTCTTTTCAGTTTAATCCATGAATCCTTTGTTCACAGTAGGAGGTGGGCTGTGTGAGCAGTTCCTGCAAAGTACTGTGAACATGCAGTGGAAAGAAGGGCCACTGTCAGTGCTGTCAACAGACAAGATAGTTATTTGCACCTTTCCCAGAATAGCACCAGGAGTGATTCCATTCAGTTTTCCATTTCTTCTAGCCCTGGGAGGCAAAGCCTTGTGATTTCTGTAGGTGGCTTGTCCTGCAGTAACAAGATTTTTCTACTGAAAAATTTGTTGGCTGTATTTTCTTTCAGTGCTTAAGTTATCTTGCTAATTTCATAAATTTCCTCTTTGGCAAGGATCTCTTTGTCCACTTGAAAAAACCCTTAACACTAGAGTTCCACCCAAATTGTAATTGCAAATAGGAAATCTTAGCCTATGCAGCTCCTACATCTGAATGCACTGTTTGTGTATGGAATTTGGTCTTGTATCTGCACTTACCTGCATTTTGGTTATTCTAATTGAAATATGCTTTGGTCATTCAGATTTAGACTGTACATTTTATTCTGTGAAGTTGTTTTACCTACAGTTAGATCCATGTATTTTGACACCCCATCAGACAAAAAAGAACAATTGTGTTCTGTCAGTGATCAATCTGTTACCACTGACTCTTCTTTCTCTTCTGTATTAGAAGACATTGTTAATGTATTTGTGGTTAATCCTAGCTAATTTTTATGTAAGCTAATGCTTAGAAAAAGAAAAGACACTAAAGGGTGGTTACGTACAAGAAAATAAGAAATTAATGTGTATGTACTTTTCAGTAGATCTTGCTTCTACTGGGTTCTAGGTACTACTTTCTTTTAGCTCTGCAAGAGGTGGAAATATCTTAGATAAAACTCCTAAGTGTGCTCTTTGATTTTTAAGTATCATGCTTGCACTTGTCCTTAATCAGAATAAAGTGCTTGCTTTTGGGAAGAATTTGATTTGAACAGCTAAAGAATGAGGAAGTTGAATTTTTTTTTTTTTGGTTGGTTTTTTTTTTGGTTTTTTTTTTTTTTTTAAATCTGAATGTTTTTCTGTTTGAAGCTGGGAATGTAGGATCTAGAATTGGAGAATTATTAAGTATTCTTAATGCTGATTGTTCGTGAGGTTTCTTATCTGCTGAGAATTATGACCATTTCATCTGGTCTTTGTTGGATTGTTATTTCCACTATGTAGAACTAAAATAAAATCTTTTGGTTCTTTTCTTGTTAACTTTTTTCCCTTGGAGTAATTAATGCACCTTAGCTCTGAATAAGACAGGCTGCATTAATATGGGAATGAAAAAAGTCCTATCAAGTTTTAGTGTAATAGCAGGTTAGGAAAAAACCAAACAAACCAACCCAACAGCTCTAACTGAACAATTTATAGAGGTTGGAACTGGACTCAGTGGCTGTTTTTTGCAGACTGCGAGGCTGTGAATTCACAAGGAGGAAGGTCTGGTTTTAATGTGCTTGACAGGTCAGCAACATGATGCATGTAAAGCTCTAGAATATGCCCATGTTGCTCATCCAAACTTGTTCAAAAAGTCCAGGGAGCTGTTTGGAAATTGCACAGGGCTCACCATTTCTTAGCAGATGGAGAGACAGCTTAAATGCTATGTACAGGCAAAGTCAGCAGAAAGGTGACATTGTGCTCATACACTACAGGTGGAATTTGTGCTGCTGAGTGATGTGAGCATGCATGTAATAAATGTGAAAGTACAGCAAATATTCTGATAATGTTTTCTATTTAAGAGAATTTGTAGTTTTAACAGGAATTTGAGTTTTGTACAAATTGCTTACTGCTATGGAGTTTACTGTACTAGAACCTTCTGACATTTTAAGCTATAGACTGAGAACTAAAAAGTATGTTACTTCTAGCTTGGAAGCCTTTAATTATTTTCTGTATTGTTGTCCTGGTTTTCAACTGGGATAGAGTTAATGTTCTTCCTAGTAGCTGATATGGTGCTGTATGGATTTAGGTTGAGAATAATGTTGATAACACTGGTGTTCTGGTTGTTCCTAAGCTGTGTTATGCTATGCCAAGGGCTTTAGCTTCTCATACTGCCCTGTCAGTGAGGATGCTGAGGGGGTGGGCAGCACAAGAAGTGAGCAGTGACATAGCCAGGACAGCAGACCCCAGCTGGCCAAAGGGATATTCCATACCATATAGTGTCATGTTCAGCATATAAATTAGGTGAAAAGCTGTCTGGGAGATGCTGCTCAGGAACTGGCTGGGCATCAGCCAGCAGGTGTTGAGCATTTGCATTGTATGTCACTTATTTTATATATTCTAATTCTATTATTATTATCACCATTATTATTATTCATTTCCCTTCCTTTTCTGTTCTGTCAGAAACTCTTTTTGTCTCAAGTCGTAGAATGGCTTGGGTTGGAAGAGAGCTTAAAGGTCATCTAGTTCCAAATCCCTGCTGTGGGAAGGGACAACTTTCATCAGACCAGATTGCTCAATGCCCCATCCAACCTGGCCTTGAACGGTTCCAAGGATGGAGCATCCACGACTTGTCTGGGAAACCTGTTCCAGTGCCTCGCCACCCTTACTGGGAAGAATTTCTTCCTAATATCTAATCTAAGCCTCTCTCAGTTTGAAGCCATTGCCCCTTGTCCTGTCACTGCAGGCTCTTGTAAACGGTCTCTCTTCACCTTTCTTTTCGGCTCCCTCCAGGTACCTGAAGGCTGCAATTAGGTCACCCCAAAGTCAGGAATTTTACCTTTTTTTTTTTATTCTCTCCCTCATCTCACTGTGGGAGGGTGAGGGAGTGAGTGAAAATCTGTGTGGTGTTCAGTTCTCTACTGGGTTGAATCACAGCTGAATTGCCACAGTTCAAACACAAAAAGATTTGTCTTCCTGAGGTAGGGAATGCAGATCTTCTTGATCTGCTTTGCTTTCTGTTAATGTTTTGAAGACAGTAATAAATGTAAATTGGCATTCACATTTCCTTCTGTATCTCATAATGAATCCAGTTAGTTTTGGATGATAAATATAGTGGAACAGAGGCTGTAATTAGAGGGAGGTATCTTTCCTGTTGCGATACCTCTTGGAGTGCTCCATCGTTTCTTGCCACTGAGTTTATACTGCAGCATGATAGCAAAGGGCATTTTGTCTATTGTGTGGCAGCTTATGAAGTTTTAAATACCTCTAATACTGTCTGTGGAGGGGGTGCCACCTGAGCCCTCTGTCTTGGTTTTCCTATATAACAGATAATCCACCAGCACAGCAGAAGGGAGTCATCCATGCCCAGGAGGACAGATGTCATGTTTCTTCAGAGGGAAGTTCGTGTGTTTTGTGACTAGCTGCACACTGGACACAAGAATTTCTTTACTTTTCTTGTTTCACTGACGAAATCAGTCTGTGATTAACCAGGATGTCTGAGGGGATGAAAACAGGCTGAGGCCCTTCAGAATGAAGGGTTCTACAGTCTTTTCTTTGCTTCTGCTTTCTGACTAGCTTATCTTAACCATCTCAAAAAATCACTTTGTTATTTTAAACAGCTCAAGGTAAATAGCCAGCAAAGGCCAGAAATGAAGAAAAGTGCTGGGAGACCTTTTCTCCCTTCAAAGGGAGGGAGAAGGGGTCAAGGCCAGGCTGGATGGGACTTTGAGCAACCTGGTCTAGTGGAAGGTGTTCCTGCCCATGGCATGGGGTTGGAATTAAATGATCTTCAAGCCTATTCCAACCCAATCCATTTTATGATTCTTTGATAAGAGGAGAGGCCACTTCCACGGTGGCTGATTGGAGACAGGGAACTGGGAGAAAGGGATTTCAAAGGAAACTGTCATTTTTCAGTGAGAAAATTTATGGCCTTTTGAATGATTTAGATAGGAAACCATTTAATTTCTAGTATTGGTTTCATGTATAGAAATGGAATGTGATAATTTCCTGTGTCCAGCATTAGCTAGTTTATGAATTTAAGATATGGAGGAAAAGTCAGACCTGGATTGATTTTTAGAAGCCACTGCTCTTTTCCCATATGTGCAGGATCAGGAGCGCATTTATAACAGGATTAGCCAAGTGCATCCTGCAAGGGTAAAGAGATTAGTATTCAGCCATTTGTGTTTCATAGCACCTTTTATTCCTTCATTCCTTCATATCTTCTTAAGTCTTTGCTTGGTTACTTTAACTAGAATATAAGCAAGCTGAATACTGGCAATACCATTTTGTGTAATCATGGGTGAACTGTGAGCTGAGTAAGGTGGTGTATAATGATGGAAATGGTCATGTTTGTATGTGGGTGCAGTGTTGTCTGTGGTGGCATTGTGCTTTTCAGGGGCCAAAATTATCTGATCCCAGGAATTTAGTCTCCTTCTGGTAGCATGATATGTTTGTTGAAAGCTAGAAGAAGCTATTCTTCTGTATTAAATGCTCAGTTAGTACCAAAAGGACTTAAAAAGATGCAGACAAATAGTGTCTTCTGTGAAGCTGTCCACATGAAAGGAAGAGGGAAATCCCTTGCCCTTTCTTTGGGCTAAGTATGACTGCTCTAAATATTTACAGAACTATTAACATTTGATAAATAACACCCTATTTTTAATGGATGCAGCATAGGCAAAATGAGATTTGCCTGCATTAGATATGTAGGTATCATGGTCTAACCTCAGCCAGCAATAGCCCTGCATGAACCACTCACACACTGTCCCATCAGCATGCTCAGAGAGATCTGGAAAAGTAAGTGCAGGAACTTGCAGGCTAAAAGTGAGAAAACTTGTGGGTTGAAATAAAGACAGTTTAATGGGTAAAGCAAAAGCTGCATACAGAGCAAAACAAGTAATTAATTCACTGCTTTCCATG